GACTTGTGGTTTTTAACAAGAAGTCGAAAATATCACTTTTTACCAAAAATGATAAAAATATTCACCAAAATTAGAGAATTAAAGATATCATTACAAAATGAACAAATCTGAGAGAGGTCCACATGTAGTACCTATATATGTAATATCAAAGCAATTGCACTTGCGGTTTTTAACAAGAAGTCGAAAATATCACTTTTTAACAAAAATGACAAAAATATTCACCAAAATTAGAGAATTGAAGATATCAACATGAAATGAACAAACCTAAGAGAGGTCTACCCAAGGTACATATACACCAAGTATCAAAGCATTCAGGCTTGTAGTTTTCAAGAAGAAGTCAAAAAAGTAAAACATTGACACGGACGACGACGACAGACAATCACTCATATGATAAGCTCCGCTCGACAAAGTCGACAGCGGAGCTAAAAAACCTATTTTTGTTTGTTGTATTAACAGTTTACTTCCTTGCAGTTTGTTTTGATTCTGATAACAAAATTTGAAAATTAAATGTCAATTGCGTAAAACGAGGAGTGAACGCGAAATAGCTGTGACATAAATAGAGCAGCGCGTTCACTACTGTTTACATAGTTAGCGTCGCCGGCAATGAAACCAATGTTTCAATATTGTAGCAACCCGTACCTGGGAGAGTGGTTTAAAGCACGTTGTTTTGGCTTTATAAAATATTTGCGAATCCATACCTGGGGCCAGCAATTTTGCAATGTCATACCGAAGACTGCCAACTTTGTTACCATCTTTCACCACAGCTATTGAATTTCATGTTAATTATTCTTCTGTCGAAGAAAAAATCTTCCTATCTCAAGCCTACCGCGATATCCATATAACTTGCTGAATGGTAACTTTCACCATGATTGATGAACGATCACCTAGTCTGATAAAAAAGCAGTGTTGAATTTACCTCCATGACAAAACACTAGTAGTGATGTCATTCTTAGCCAATCGGTAAAGCGGATGCTTAAAGGTCAAAGATGCTTGCCAGACGGTAAACAAAAGCATCGTGCGAGTCGTTTGCCGCGACCCCATTTTTCTTGTCTCTTTATTCTGATTAGACGTGAATTAAAAGTGCCAAGGTACCAGACAGCGAAATCCGTGGATTAAATGAGCTAAGTCCAAATTGTGTGGGACGACATCGACAAACTTCAAGACGAAGCTATAGGGATTTTAGTTCGATCGCGTCAGTGGCGCCGACTTGGAATTTCAGGGTTTTGACTTTTACGAAGATAGCAATGAGCGTACAAATAGAGATCTTAAAAGGTTTTTTTTCTAACAACTATGAACTTTCGTAATTTTACTGCGTAAATTATTATTGATCTTGTATGGTTGTTGATCCGGTAATTGTCGAAACCGGAAGTAATACACGCGTATGGGGCGGCGTGTTTGTCGACGGGGATATTCTAATTCAAATGAATCTTCACTGTCGATTTTCATTATTTCTGGTTTAAATATTTGTCACATTCTAAGCAATAAATTATTTCTTGTTACACTTCTAATGCTGCATATTGTTCATTTATTTTTGTTGCATGTTTTTATTTGCTGTTTTTCTCCCTGTCGCAGTTCGATCTGCGTGTTGCCAATTTTCCCGCGATTTTTCGTTTTTTTTGTTGCCGGGTGTTTTTCTCGTTCTAAAGCGACCCGCACGGGAGGCAAATGCTAATGTCTGCAATAGGCCTTCAAAAATAAACTCACTGGGTTGCTGCGTCCGTTGTAGGCCCCTCTTGCAACAACCATTCCCAGCCCTGACAAGGCTGCAAACGTCCGCCTGAACTTTCCCACCGAGACTTTCCTGTCACTTCTACACAGTCGGCGTATCGGTGTTGATACACTACTGACAGGGCCTCACTGACAATTGTTCTCAGCGTGAATGTACATTACCACTGACAGTTGTTCTTGGCGTGATATCATACAGTACCACAGTTGCTGAGAAATGTACAACATGCGTAAAAATAAAATGAACAGCAAGCCTGGAAGACAGAGCCTAGTGTCAAATAAACAAAACAAAATGGCGATGACTCGCTGGCGTGGCAATGAAGCCAAACAAATATAAATATTGCAATTGGAGGATGAATATTGGCCATAAAAAGGAAGTTTAACGCTGTCGCAAATGCTGTCCTACAAGAGCTTTGCAACTGAGTCGCAAAATGCCTTTTCTCAGGTCGCAAAGCACCTTTGCTACCACTTTGAGTCGCAACTGTGGTCACAAACACTGTTTTGAGACATACATAAATGGACTATAATATACTATAATTAAAAGCAACCCGAACCTGTACTAACATCTGATTTTAATCAAGATTGGTATTCAGTATTGACATGACATTTTTCTAAAAAAAACAGTTTTAAGAAATTTATTGCTGTTACTATTTCTTAGAAAGTAGAGTTGATGTTAACAGAATAGGTTGCACCTATGACATTTGGGTGTTTGCCTAATGTCAGTGCCAATCAAACAGTTTGCTCAAAAGAATTACAATAGAACAGTACGTGCAGGCTTCTCCAAGAACCTTTTTAGGTAAAGCATTGTATAATCTGGCTTGCGTCCAAAATCAGTGAAACATGGCGTCTAGACAGTTACCACTCAAAGAATATCAGATACAGTCTAAAGTCTATATGATTCCATATTTTGAACACAATACACAATTCAAATATAGTTTCTATACTTTTTTTTTTATGTAAGACTTACCTCAAACTCGTCTTTACTTGGTCCATCAGGCGCTTTCAGTGATGCTTCTTCCAGTTCTGATATCTTCTGTGCTCTAAAAAGCTTTTGAAAAAGCATAAAAATTACCGGTGATTCTGCAGAAGTTTGAAAGAGGACAATAAGGCCTCCCTCCCAAGACCCCTGGCATAAAAAGTGAGCATAGCGTTTCTCTTTGTCGGTGAGACAGTCAAATGCCGCTTTGCACTCCAAAACAGCAACTGGAACATCGTTCGGGATTATGAACTGGGAATCAGTCATATTGGTTTTTTTTCTCCACAGATGTATTATAAAATATTTCTCAGAAAGAATACGTCAACTTGAAGTCCATATGGAAATTGTAGAGGGCGTTCGTTCGTTTGTTTGTTTGTTTGTTACATCTGTGTATTAACATTAAACGGCGTCAGTGTTTTTGCTTCTGTAGATTTATGACTGCGACAGATGTACCTGATACAACAAACAAATATTTGATTATTTTTTTATTAATAATATATATTTTAACAAAAAACATTAATGTTAAAGTTGATATCCTTGTTTGACCTTTGACCCGAAAGTTCACCGCATCTCAGCTGATTCACGTGTGAATCATCTAGCAGACAACATTATTAATTATCTATTAGATGACGTAATGCTCCAGAATTTAGCTGCAAGATTGGTTAATAGTAGTTTTAGAGTGTTGAAAGGGTAAGACTTATTGTGTTGAAACGTGAACAATCTTCGTACTCTCTACAAATCATGAGAGTGGAAAAGTTATGCTGTTACATCTACTCGCAGTCTACTAACGTTTTACCAGTCTGCCTGATCTGATTTTGTGTTGTGGTATTGACAACTGTCCCTCTGTAGTAGAGCCTGTTTTCCCCATAAAGTTTCTTGGTTTTATTTTTTGAATTGTATAAATGCTTGATGTCAGTTATTGTATTATATTGGTAGCTAAACTGCTATAAATCATTACTTTGGTAATCATTTTACTATATTTCTACATCTTTTTTTATATTTTTCAATATATTTGTTGCAGTGTTTCTGATTGTTCGCTTCAGAGAGTACCATGTATCGTACAACAAAGAACGCAGAGCAGCCAAGTAAATGATGATGACGTGAGTAACTATTGGCAACCTGTAATTATTTCTCTGTTTTAATTGTTCATTTTTAGTTGATATTATCACACTTTATTTTATAAAGGCATGACATTTTTATGACAAATTATGAAATATTTACCCTTTTTTAATTTGGTAATGTCCATTAACCATGAGTCTTTGCAGGTTACCTACACTCATTGGCCAATTTACTGCCATGCACATATTTTTAAATGTATAAATCATACAATATTATAAGATTCAATACATCAGATAATCAGAATTTTCAACATTTTTGAGGATTACAGCCAAACCATGATGGTCTTTGTTCCAGAACCTGTCAGATAAGTAAAAAGAAAATCAGTTGTCTGTGAAAATAGTGAGCTTTGGAAGCACAGCTTACAGCCATTCTGAGAACTATTCTGACAGTAAGTTAGCAAGATGACTTGAAACTTTGCAAAACACTTCAGCTTTTGTCTAATCTAGACTTGAAACGTGCACAGTTCAGGTCATTCTATTATCATACTAGATAAGGGTAAAGTGCAGTTTTTCAAAATGAAAATGTAATAATAATAATAATAATAACTTTATTGCATCCTTAGAAATACAATGTTTCTATCAGTTAATAGCAATAAAGATTAGTTGTGATAACTACTACTACAAAAATAAAGTTAGTTGTTAAAAAAAAAAAAAAGATAAAGCAAGTGTTACATATCAAATGGCATTTTTATGTATGTATGAATGTATGAACAGGTTATTTTGATGTGTTAATATTTCTTGAATTACGTACAATGTAGATAAACAAGCAATGAAGAATGGTAATTAAATATGTACAACAAGTAAATCATAATTTTGATCATCCTATGAAATAGTAAATCCTACACAGCAGCGTCAAGTCTAGAACAAAGCAAACACCTAAGTTGCGAGCAACCTTGGAAACTGACTGAATAATTCTCAGAACAGTTGTAATCCATAAAGTGTGTAATCTACTTCATCTCAATTTTCATTTCATTCACAGTCACCAGATATAAGTGAGAATCACTATCCAACTCTGAATATTCATGTCACTGGACATGATCTTACCGTCGTGGAACATTATGCACAATACTTGCACAATATGTCAAAAAATTTGGGCATTATTGTCTCTGATAGGTAAGTGTAACCATACACGTACCTAAGGTCAATATGTAATCATATCGCATCAACTCTGTACGCCCTCTATGATAAAAAAAAAGGCTGCGTGGTATTATCAATTGTCACTTTCTGAATAGTTGTATTTTATAAATTTATTTGTAAGCTATTTGTTTGTTTCAGCTATGCACTTCCAACAAAAACACATGTGGCAAAAACTCTACAAAAACCAGGAATAAATGTGAAGCCGAGAAATATTACACTGAAAACATTTGAGAGGGTTGTACAGGTAAGTATTGGTAGATCTAGTCATGGTCAATAGTAGTGTTCACGCTACACGAAGTACGGGCTAAGATTTAAGCTGATTTAGGCTTATCTCACATATTTGCGACTAGATCCAATTGCGTCCACACGCTGGGAGGGCTAGTCGATGACCTTTATTGAGCCGCTGTTTACGAAAAATCCTTCTAATTTAGCTTGCATATCCTGATAAGCATTTTTTTCTGTTCCTCGGCGAGGAGTTCAACTGTCTCAAGATTTCGCTGTCTTTCCATATACATGTACTCAGTAGAGTTTTTGTCTCTTTGTTGCTATAGTTTTTTTGAGGGAACGAAGTTTCATGCACACAGAGCTCGGTTGCCATTTTGGAAATGAGAAAGTTGCATGTATTTGATCACGTGCATAATATTCACACCCAAAGGTCGCCACTTCGTTTGCC